GCGGCAGCGGGGCCGCGCGAGAGCACGGCGCCGAGCTGCCCTCGCCCAAGCGCCGCGCGCCCTGCGCGTCGAGTGGCGGTGACGCCTCGACGCTGCCCCTGCCCCTGTGGAAACCCGAAACGGTGCGGTGACAGACCGTGCGGTGACCTCGACGTCCCCCAGGGCCTCACCGCACGGTCCTGGGACCCCGGAGGCCCCTGTCGCCCGAGACGTCCTCGGAGACCGGCCCGAGTCCCAAAACCGCGCGGTGACCCCGACTCCCCACCGACTCGCCACACGGTGCGGTCACCACCCCGTTTGTCGGGAGCGGCAAAGAGGGGGGTGTCCAAGAGGGGGGGGGGGGGGCAAATCATGACCGGCGGCATGTGCGCGGCCCAGCGGGGGGGGGGGCCAGGGCCGTGATGAAACAAGAAGAGGCGCCATGAAATCTGAGGAAATATCATGGCCCGCGCCATGATTTCCCCCCCCTAGTCATCACCCCCCTCTTTTCCGCCCCCGACAACAGGAGGAGCAGCCGAGGGTGCGCCGTCTTGAGGCGTCTCGAACTCACCCTCCCCGCATAGACATAGTCGCTGGTTGGCGGGATCCCCACGCTGCCCCCCCTAGTCATCACCCCCCTCTTTGCCGCCCCCGACGTTTGGGGACCCCCGCGGCGCCCCGGGAGAGGCCGGGACCGTGCTCCCGCCGAGGCGCCGCGCCAGGATCTCAGGAGCTCCGCCCCCCGCCCGTGCGCGGCCCGCCGCGCTGATTCTGCCTCGCCGAGGCGCCCGGGGAGCGGGGCCGCGCGCGGGGGCCCAGTGGCACGCAGATAGATAGACAGAACCTCCTCCTCCTCCTCCTCCTCCTCCTCCTCCTCCTCCTCCTCCTCCTCCTCCTCCTCTTCTCCTCCTCCTCCTCTCCTCCTCCTCCTGCCTCCTCTCTCCTGCTCCTGCCCTGCTCCTCCTCCTCCTCCTCCTCCTCCTCCTCCTCCTCCTCCTCCTGCTCCTCCTTCTCCTCCTCCTCCTCCTCCTCCTCCTCCTCCTCCTCCTCCTCCTCATCCTCCGCTTCCTCCCCCCACCCCTAGCCCTTTCGATCAGGGTCGGCGGCACGGGCCGTCAGGCCTCTCCAATAGACAAAAGTTTCAGGATTCCCCATGCTTTCCCGTTTTTTGCGGATGTTCGTCCTCCCCCCCACTGCCCGTAGTTTCCCACATTGTCCTGGGGATCGACGACAAGATTGTGTCTGTGCGCGCTTTTTCCCCTCCTGCGTCCAGTCCCAAAATCAAGGCGTGCCGCCGGTGATTCCTGTGATACGGCAGGGGGGAACGGGATGCTCGGGGTTCGACCTGCCGAGCTCGACTCCTACTCACGTTCATGGCCATTCCTTCCGCCATCATGTTCCCTCTCTCGCTTCAGCATCGCCACCCTGCCTTTTGAGAACAGCAAACATGCAGCCTTCCAAAGAAGTGCCCTGCGAGAGGCGGGATCGGCGATTCCGGGGGGGCGGAGGAGAGGAACAACAGGAATAGGAGGAGGGTTGTACATGTAACACGATATACTTGCACAGGCTTTGAAGTACATGTACACACAACTCCAAGCACACCACACGTTCACCTGTTGTATATCTATATACACATATATATATACAAATATACACACACGTGTTTGTGTGAACGAGAGGCGACGAAGTCGAGGAGGATATGGGAAGGCGGACACGCAAGGCAATGCCTGCAGACGAAGCACACGCAAAACGGCGTGACGGCAGGGCCATTGGAATCCCGACGCCGTTGGCAGCCATGAAGTTCAGCACACACACACACACACACACTGGGAAGAAGAACCGCTCAACTCGCCGCGCGCAAAGTCCATAGCCTCATTCGGTCGCCGAGTTGCGAAAGTCGATAATGCCAAGCAAGAGGAGGAGCAGCCGAGGGTGCGCCATCTCGAGGCGTCTCCAATTCAACCTCCCCACATAGATGGTTACCGGTTGGCGGGATCCCCATGCCGCCCCCGAACGGCGGCGTGGTCGACGACGGCAACTGCGAGGGCACCCACCTCGCGAAAGTGCTTCGCAGGGACGAGCATCGCACTCTCCTCGAAGCCAGTACATCCGCCACCACACGGCATCCTCGTGGGGCCTTGCGAGACGGGATGCATGGCTCGTGCGCAGCATCGTTTCCACATGTTCTTGTCAGGGCGAGGTGGAACAGCAAACATGAAGAAGGAAGCGTCCCTGTTGACAGAACTCTCGGCAAAACGAGGGCTCGCAAGACCACAAGCACGCCCCCGCGGCGCCTGCGCGGCAGGACCAATAACCCGCCTGGCGCGCGCATCGTACGGGTCGCTGGAGGGGCCAGGACCACCACTGCCGCCATCTCGGTAAGGTCCAACACCACCGTCAGGAGGCCGAGCCAAGCTAGGGCAAACATCGTCGCCGACCAAGCCGTCGTTAGAAGGATCCCAATCACCTATTTTGCTATCAGCTCCAGGTCTTGGAGCACCCACGACACCCTGAAGAGCGA